AGTTGCTGACTGGCCACTGGGGGGGGGGCACATGCCCCCCCTGACTCAGGAGGCACCAGTGATCCATGCACAGCACAGTAAGTGTCAGTACTGTGCCATGTGTGCAGCACCTGGTTAGTTTTAGCCACTACTTTGCCATAGTGGTGCATAGTGAAATAGCTGATGGTCACATGTAGATCCATGTGGCGGCTACATCACCTTAGTGCATTGTGTAGATGTACCCTATGAAACAGAAATACAAATTTTTCACCTTCATACACTAACATGGCACTTATATAGCTGTGCAACTACAATTTTGGCACTTTTACACAGTTTAGATTCTACACAGCTGTACTTTCCCACTGAATATGTTCAGTAGGCTGCACCAGTATGCAAGGAAATACAATTGCTCAGGTTCAAACCAGCATTACCTACTTCCTAACAAAGTGTGCTAACCATAAGTCTACAGGAAGAGTCAGGCGCAGATGTAGGTGGGGTGGGGTTTTGCTGTTGCACTTAATTCAATTCCTCAGCACAGCTCAGCATTCTGCAGTGCCACAAAGAGACTGGATCTGGCCTGTGCTTTACTAACAAGAGGCTCATTCCTTACTGGGGTGTAGATTGTAGCTGTGTTGGTCTAAGGATATAGGCAGACAAAGTTCTTTGGGTCAATCTGATATCTTTTATTAGACCAACTTAAATAGTTGGAGAACAATTTTTAAGCAAGCTTTCAGGTTCAAAAACCCTTCATCAGGCTAAGGAAGTTTCAACAGTTAATGTGTTCCTGTTCCAAATGTTTGTCTCTCTCAGCTATTTAGATGACCACTTACACCAGTAGTCTTTTTCAAGTTTGCTCATGGTCACTCATGCAAACAGTTGATGCAGGACTGGACCCTTGGCATTGTAAAATTTGTTGTCAAGCTGTTCACCCTCCCCTGGCACTGGGCCCCAGTCACCTTGACTCAAGCTGTCGATGGTGGAAGTGCCAAGGGTCCAGTCCTGCATCAAGTTGGTCTAATAAAAGATATCAGATTCCCCAAAGAACCTTGTCTGCCTCATTCCTTACTGGCATCCAGCCATCCCTGCTGATTGGCTGCAAGTGCTGTCTATCATACGCCCTCACCCCTCACCTCTGGTTGGCTGTGAGGGCTGTCCATCATGTGTCCTGCCCCTCACTGCAGATTTATGGAGGGGCCAGGGCCATATGACAGACAGCCCTCACAGCCAATCAGTGGCAAGCAACGGGGTAGCAGCCATTTTACCATGCTGGCCTCCCCCCTACCCCTCTCAGGCCCCTAGGCCACAAGGACTGCTGGCTTCCCAGAGACAGTCAGCATTTCATTTTTGGGATTTTTTTTTCAGGATAAGAACAGAGCCTATGTTTTTTGTGGAGTCAGCCCAAAATCACAGTTTCCATGAAAATCATGCAATCACAATTTTGGTCAGTCCCTAGTAATGTCTAGGTTGCAAGGGGCCACCTGCCATTAGTAAAAGGTTGCTAATCCCTTCCCTCCCCCCAAACAGATTACTGTACAGTAAGAGTCTGCACATGTAGACAGTGATGGTTACTATGTAGTTATTTGCTCTACTGTGCAGTAAAGCATCTCATGTAGATGTGCCCTGTTACCAAATTTGCCCATTACTTTGGGGTGTGCTCATTTATTAGGGGTAGTTTCTAGGGTCTTGGTGATTCTGTCAATGTGCTGCTTGTGTTACTATACGGAGCTGTATTTCTTCCTTCTGCAAGCCCTCACCCCCAGTGGAGCTATCTTGCAGGACTCAATCTCAATGGGACTGGGTTCCTCCAGTCACCAAATCAGTCATACACACAAACACACACAAATTAACGTGACACACCTGACCTGGCCGGGCTGATCAGCATGGACAGGCTGACACCCTCATATGCCAAGAATCAGTTCATAAGAGCAACAATAAAATGCAGTCAGACACAAGCACACAGGTAAACAGAATCCCTCTGAATCCGGCTGGGTGTCCAGCTGACACCCTCATGGGCCAGCATTCAGTTCATAAGGGCACGTCTGAGTCAAACTGGGTCAATCAGCCTGTACAAGCTGATCCCCTTATGTGTTTCAAACTCAGCACGTCCCAATCTTTGGCCTCTTGATGAGCAGACCCCACAATAATTTGGGCTTCACAGGGATCTTTAGCATAGGTAAAAGAAGCGTTGCTGCAGAGCACGGGAGGAAAGAGAAGCAGAGAAGGAAAAATATACCCAATTACTACCAGTTTGACTATAAAAGTTATTTATTGCTAAGCATATGAAATATATAATAGTACTAGTAGTAATAGACATGCAAAAGAAAAACAAACACCAACAATGACAATACTACCCTGGTTTCACTAAGTATTTGGGGAAACTTAGCTCAAGCTTAACTGATACAGTTCAGGTTCAGAAGTTTATGCCTAGAAAGAAGACAGAGAACGCTGGGATCTCACCTAGTCCACGGTACTCAGGCTGCAAAGCTGACAGGCACAGTCCGTAGCACAATCCTTGAAGAGAGAGATGATCTGTTCTTCCAGCGTCCCAAGAACGACAGGGGATGGTGTCAGCACAGGGGTTTTCTTCTTCTCCTTCTTTCCTCCTGCTTCTACTTCTTTTCCTTCCTTTTCCTCTTCTAGCAGCACACACACTTACAGATTTTTATACCCTCAGTTCAGCTGCTTCGAAGCACCCTCAGTAGTGTAAATCATTGTCTTTTCTATTGACAAGGGGTTATCTGGTTTGGACCATCTCAGGAAACTGATTGATAATCAGGAAACACTTAAGATTAGGGAGTAACCCAAATACTTGGGAGCCAGCTTGAAATTCCTATGGGTGGCAGATATACTGATGGGATATCTCATGGTTTCTTCAGGAACAATAGATAGCTTGCAGCATCAGGATTTTGGATTTTTACTTGTTGTGCACAAGCCTCAGCTTAGCATGACTTTTCCAGATCTTACTATAGTCTTTTAACAGACTTAAGACAATTATTGGGGTGCTCATAACCTTTTGTGGAGAGGACTCCCACCAGTCGTCTCGGGAAAGATATGACAACACCTGGGATTAGGGCTCCAGCAGGCTGGATGCTGTGATGAACCCTTAACCATTGTTCAAATGTTGCCCATACCCCCTCTGACTCGGTCTCTTGCCTCAGCATTCCCTAACCCGGCAACCGAGTTTTAGTCAATCAAGTTTAAATAGGCCTCCCATAGTGGGACCGGGGAATGTACGGCCCGAGATGCCTATTAAACTTAGAGCTGTGTGTGTGTGTCTGGGGGGGAAAAGTCCTTAGTAAATCCAGATTAGAACTGGTCTGATAAATGCTGAGCTGGGTGTGTGTGAACATGGGTTGATTAACATTGGAAGCACAGATTCCCCATCATGCAGCGCTCTCCTGCTTCTCTGGTCCCAGAATTCACTGCAGTCTCTGCTTCAGGCTTTCTGTTTTCCATCTCTCATGTAAATGAGACCTAGGGCAGTTGATTCACTCGTCACCCTTATCTGGTGAGGGTCTTAGGTGCGTCTCTCACTGCATCTTAATCAGTTTCGTTTAGGTAGAGGAGGGGAGGGAGGGGGGGGGGTGAGTCCTTTGTTAGTCAGACAGACTGCATCCTGTGCCCCGGTTGCCCAAGAATACAGAGCTGAGACGTAACAGCCCTCTGTCAACTAAAATAATATTAACACTGCAAACTGGGTTTTGTGTTTGGGTATTTAAGGTAAAGCTAGTCCCTCTAGATGTGTCTTCTAATGTTTTATATATTGTCCTAACACTCTAACACTAACCTACTATATTATGCTGACTCTCACATGGCATAGAGGGCATATCTTCTATTTGTCTGTCTATCTGTACCATCTGTACCATCACAGTAAATATTAAAATATTAAAACAGCTCATGCAAATCTTAAAAATAAAAATAATCAGTATAACAGCCTCTATCTCACTGGGTTGTTTCATTCTTCCCTCACAATCGGGAAAATAGCTTGATTAGTTAGTTTGTTTGTATTTATCTGTACGTATTTGTGGATAGATAGATGTATGCAAAGGAAATAATAATAAGGAAAAGCTAATGTGAAGAAACAAGATTAGCTTTGAAAGTGATCTGTACTGTGGGCATCGTTACCTTTGAAGGAATGAGTGCAAAAATCTAGATTCAGATACTGTGAATAGTCTGTCTCTCTTCAAAATGTCTCTCAAGAGTATCACTATTATTCAGGAAATCAGCTAATGTTGGAGGTCGGTGTTTATCTTGGATAGTTAAGCCCAGTCAAATGCAGATCTCTGAATATAAGGATCAAGACCTTGAGCTGTATTCTGTTCATCTGATTTTAACAATAAGCTTTCTTAAACGTTATGTCACTTAATTTTTTTCCACATTTTTCACTTGTTCCTTTTTTAATAATGTGTTCTATAACTCAGTACAGTCTCATCTCCCCAGCCCACAGATACAAGCTACTAGTCTGGAACTAAGACTAAATCTAAAAAATGTCAAATGTAATGAAAAAGAGCAGAGGAGGGTACTGAATGGCTTACTGGAATGGAAATGGTATATGAAGTCTTCCACCTGTTAGTCACAGCTTTGAATCTTCTTCTAGCAATGGCTAGAATTTCTGAGAATTTGATAGCTAGCTGTTCACCAACCTCTGTAAATGAAGTTGTTAGTGCCAGTCCACCTTCTCGTGACTACTGTCCATATCACAAAAAGCATAGCACCAGTTAATACTTAATTTTACATCCTTGTTTACTATATCAGTAAAAAAACCCAAAAAACAAAGCTCTGACAATGATGTATTCACCTCCACACAGCATTTATATGCCTGCATCTCTATGACATTATTACTAATTTAATAAAACTACTGGCATTATTATATAGTCCTTTCCTGCTCTGATGGATTCAATTAAAAACATTCAACAGACATTTTGCAGTATTAAGGAACTCTGAACAGATTATATTATTTGTTTAAAAAAGACTACATATTTTGTTTGGTACAATTTATAAAACAATAAAAGTGGTCTTACCCAAAGCTCTCATTACAATTTGAAAGCCAGTTTCTCAGTTGATAAAAATGATATAGCTCTACTGACTTTATGTGAAGACATAGCCTTTTAAGGGGGTGCCAACTGTGCCCATTTTTAGTTGATCAGATATAATCTGCCAGTCAGTTATACTGAGTCATATGGATCCTCGTGGTAGGTAAAGATGCCAAAAAGGTACTAAGGAGAATTATTACTCAAAGTGGGAGAATGGGAGCTTTTAATAAGTTTTGAGTTCTAAGAATCTTTCATAACTGTTTTTTAAATAAAGGAGGGAGTATTTCTATATTAATATGAAGCACAAAGTACTAGAAATAGCACAGGATTCTATGGAAACTTCCAATGTTGTTGGCAGGAATATGAAAAATGTTTCTGTTAGAGCTTTTGGATGCTTATAGAAATTTGGCTGAATCTTCAAGCTATTTAAAAGAGAGAGCAATTAGGGAAAGTTCATACAGTACAATTAGGAAATATATTATCAGACAGACACTGGAGCAGTTTCATCACAGGATAATGGAAAGACTATTTTCCACTCTCTGTACTTTAACAAAGAATAAATGTACTGTGTGGCGTTGTTGCTTTAAAGTCTATTTGTTTCAGTATTTCAAGCAATCTCTGATTGTTATGTATGGGCAGAGGCCCTTTTTAAAGAAATCAACCTTTAAATTACAGTTCTGTTATGCTTGTTATATCTTGTGTTTAAATCCAAGGGAAAAACAAACAAACCCACTTTGCAATTCTCATCTTTGTCAATTATTCAATTTTCATTGAATTGCTTTGCAGTGTTTTGATCTCTCAGGAATGGGCATTGTCTGAGGGTCAAGAGCAAAATGTAATGTAAGAAAGTGCAAAAGAAATTAAATAAATGGATCATACACTTGAATATGTGCATCTGTATACATTTTATAGAAGTATGTACTAGGTATGTGATGGCAGTTAAAAGCTTAGTATAAATAAAAAAGCAAAGAATGGAACTGTAATAGCTTCCCAGTGTATAGGGCTTCACACCTTCCAGAGAAAACTGATGTGACAAGCACAGATGTATTGCAAAGGCTGAACAGGCCATTTATTACAACCATTGAAATAACAACACTTTATACTTATAAGGAAATTTCTATCTCAGAACCTTAAAGTGCTTTACAAAATGCAGTTCTCCATTTCACAATTTTATAAAGTAAGATCACTTCTTGAGTTGTGGAAAAAGGAGGCCAGTTTGTGTGAGTGACATTTTGAGTGAATCTTATATGGTTTGTGTAATGGGACTGGCATTGGTTTGCATGACTTCAGATGCTTTTGGAGTATGGATGTTAAAAAATCTCAGCTCCAAGTAAACTTACCTCTACATTTAGATTCTACAGGTTTTTTTCAATCTCCCCATGTTATCCCAGACTCCCTGTTACCCAGTAAAGGCATGTCTGTGCATGCATACAGAAGTGCAGGAAGGCAGTGCTAAAAGTTACAGGGCAATCCAATAAAGTAGCCATTCTGCATTTGGAGGGGAGGTGGGGTGGGGAGAGAGGGGCAATGTCTCCCTGCACTGGCTGAGGCCAGGAGGCAGGGGGTGTTGTTGCATGCCTCCCAGTGTGCTCTGCAGACTTCGGGGGCTGCTGGAAACTGCTGAGGGCAGCCAAAGGAGCTAGCCATAACCAAGCAACCTGTCTGCCTGGGCCCTGTGTGGCTGGCCCCACTCCTGGGCAGTCAGTGACAGCCTTTCATCCCAGCTTCACTTCCTCCCTCTGGCCAGCTAAGGGCCAAAGCCTGTTCAACGGGAGTGAAATAGAGATGATGTCTCTCCCCGCTGCTTACTCCCCCAGCACCAGGAGAATGATCATCCCAGCCAGCTGCAGTAGGAGCCCAGCAAGGACAAGGAGGGTGATGGGGAGACCTCTCCCCTGCAGTGTGCCTAGGAGGGCTACTCACTCCCCTGGTCCTGAAGGAGCAAACAGGGAGAGACCCCTCCCCCTACAGCATGCCTGGCCAGGCTGATCACTCACCCAGTGCTAGGGGGGCAGCCCTAAGCAAAGGTTTAAGCTCCGCTGCCAGGTTTAAGCTAGAATGTTGCCAATAGTGTAATTCTGTCTTGAACATCATGATAAAGCTTTTCTTAGAGCCCAACTGCTGGAATTAACAAGATGCATGAGAACCTCAGCTTTCATTGAAAAACTATGAGTTTCTATCCTTGAAAGTTATCGAGAAAAGCTTGAAAATATGAGGCAGGCAAAGTTGTTATTATTGAAAAAAATACACTTTTTAAACCAATCTCATGCCTCTTGATTCTTGATAATGGAAACAATGGGAATGATCCATACAATATAGTATGGACTACAACATAGTCTTATATGATAACTGCTTCTTGCTTGACACAAAGGTGATGGAATAATGGACCTCCTAAGCAAAAAAACATGAGTTATTACAGCTTGACCTAAAGACCATAGTAATTAACTGATAAAGAATTTACTCTGGAGAGTAGGCACCCTCCTGGAGGATAATGTGGGATAGGTAGATGTAATTTTGCCCTAACGTGAAAATAAGTAAGTTACGATGAAGGAGAGCCCCAATACCTGACTAAGCAGGGACATGCCATGTTTACAAGGTTGTTGCTATACATTTTTCTTTTTCTGACAATTTTGTTTTAAGGCAAATGGTGAAATATTTGTTTTTTACAACATAAAAATGATTAGGTAGTCTGAAAGAATAATCTCTTCCCATCTGAGACACTTTATAAAAGATTTATGTTTTAGAAAAAACCTTATTTGCCTTCAAAATGGAGTGAACATTGCAAGGTACTATCATACATTTTTGGGGTAGAATAAGGGAAGAATTTTATTAACCTTTTTGCACCTAAATGGCAATTTTAGAATTGTGTATGTGGTGTGTTTTGCCGCTTACAGATTGTGAGTGTGTTCTTCTTCTAAGGCACAAAACAAGATGTTATAGTTTTGTTTTCCCTTGTGTTGGTGTCAATCTCTCCTGACATGACTTTGATGGGAGTCATTAAAGGGGGACACCACATGAGAAGAGTGCTCATTTAGTTTTAATAACAAGCATCAGCAAAGCCCACTCACAAGAAGTGCTACTCGCTAGTCGCCATCTGTAGGTCCCTCAGCTGGCTCTCCCTACAAGTTCCCGATTCACGTATCAGTCCCACAATGAACATTCACTGGGTGGGCACTTGCGAACCTGACATGCTTATCAGTTCACAGCAGCAAAGTCCTTGTCACAGATCCGGATGGAGCTGCAATCATCTGGCTGAATCAGGAATTCATCTTCCAACGATCCGGGTGCCCAACACTCACCACTTCAACAAGAAGTTCTTGGCAAATCTCTCTCTCATTGCCTCTGCCTCCATGCAGCCTGCTTGCCATCTCTGGCAGCTAAAGCCTCAGCTCCTCTTCCCCTTCTGGGGAAAAGCTGATCGCACCGACAGTCCTTTATACAATGTTTCTACCTGGCTGTTGTCAATCTTTGTTTGTCCGCCACCAGCCAGGAAGATTTAACTGGCAATTAAGCCTTTTGTTGTCCCAATCTGCTTGAGCACCTCATCACTGTCACCAAGTAATGGGCACTTCACCAAAGTCCATAGCGAGTATTTAGCATCCTGGATGGGCGAATAGTCAATCTGTTTCCTAGTTCCATGGGTCAGATAGAAAGTTCTCAACAAATTGGGTGCTTTTTCTGAACGTTCTAGTTAGAACACTGTTCTCAGAGTAACACAGGTCCATGCGGAGCAAGGGAGCCCAGGACCTAGGTCTCTGACTGCTTGGGTGAGGGCCCTAAGCACACAGTTATTGAAACTAAACCACAGGAGGGTTGCTGACTGTATACCTTTCCTGGGACATCAACTCAGGTCTGTGCGTGAGTAGTCAAGCATATACCCAGAGTTCATAGCCTACAGCACATACTCATTTTAAGCACCTAATATTTAAGCATGCGTATATATCCATAGCAGAGAGATGATAGACTCACAAGCCCTACATAAATGGCAAGAATGTGACTTATAAGCATGAAAAACTGACATCAAAGTTCATAAAATGGAATAGAATTCCACCCAAAATCCAAATAAGACAGAAGCTATAACTATGATGTGAGATTGCTTTTCCACAGCCATAAATCTAGACATTTTGGAATAGCGAGGTAGTTTCAGTTACCCACACATATCTTATTGCTTTGCCTATTTATTGCATATGCTTTGAAAACTATATGAAATCAAGACTAATTTGTCTAAGCATTGTGTTTTCATATCTGACATTAAAAAATATATATTCATAAGTGGGTTTTTTTATAGCATTTACCTTTGTGGTCTATCACTTAAAATTGTCATTTGTAGAAAAATATTATATGTAGCATATTTTCAGAAATCAATTAGCAGGACAGTTTTTAAAATATGAGATGGGACGGCTATTAGACACAAAAAAGACCTGAGTACTAGGCTGTCAATTTGTGATGTTTCATATTGGTTGCGATTAGTGATATTTCCCTCATTACATTCCCCTGTGTCATTGAAGGATGTAAAGACCATTTTGGTATCTAAATCTGGAATGTTCAGTGGAACTGTGTGATGATGATTTCTCTTACAAACCATTAGTGCTTTAGTGCTTTGTAATCAGCTAATTCTGAACATTGATGTCAGTTCATAGTCTTCTGTGTGACACTGCACTCGATGCCCAGCATTCCTAATCTATAGTTAGAAAAAAAAATCAGAAGAATTTAAGACCTGTCAGCTGAATGATGTATAGTATCATCCCATCCTGCTCAGATAGACCACGTGTTTAGATTAGTATGTATAGACATTTTAACATTCGGGTTTCAAATATCAGGTTCCAGTTAGACATATCAGATCCATACATATTCCGAAATCTAAGTAAAGGGAAGAATTGAAATTCTAGTACAGTACTCAGTATACACTTCTGTGTGGCCCGGCTCCAATATCAGCACTTCATTTTAATGATAACTGCAGCTCTGGTGTTCATTCTAAAATCCTTAAATGTACTTAACAACCTGTTTATGCTTGGAGTGTATTGAGTTTATGGGGATAGCCAAATGAAGCAGATAAGTGTATTATGT